AGGGAACTTCCTGGGGTAATAAAGTTTCAAGGTCTCACAATGGTGGTGATAAAACTATGTATACGGTTGTCAAAACCCATCTACTGGCTGGGTGCGGTGGCTCACGCCTGTAATCTCAGCACTTTGGGAGACCGAGGCGGGAGAATCACTTGAAGTCAGGAATTCGAGACCATCCTGGCCAACGTGGCGAAACCCCATCTCTACTAAAAATACAAAAATTAGCCGGGTGTGGTGGTGGGTGCCTGTAGTCCCAGCTACTTGGGAGGCTGAGGCTGGAGAATCGCTTGAACCCGGGAGATGGAGGTTGCAGTGAGCTGAGATCCGGCCACAGCATTCCAGCCTGGGCGACAGAGCGAGACTCCGTCTCAAAAAAAAAAAAAAAAAAAAAAAAAAAAAAAAAAAAAAAAAAAAAAAAAAAAAAAAAAAAAAAAAAAAAAAAAAAAAATTAGCCGGGCATGATAGTGGCCGGCTGTAATCCCAGCTACTTGGGAGGTTGAGGCAGGAGAATCACTTGAACCCGGGAGATGGAGGTTGCAGTGAGCTGAGATTGCACCACTGCCCTCCAGCCTGGGTGACAAGAAGGAGAGTCCGTCAAAAAAAAAAAATCTACTTGAATAATGGGTGCCAAGGGCTGGGGAGGGGGTTGGGAAGTTGGTGTCTAATGAGGACAGAGTACAATTCCAGTTTTGCTGGAGTAAAAACTCCAGAGATGGGTAGTGGTGATGGTTACACACCAAGAGAAAGTACTTAATGCGCCAAATTCACCTTAAAATAGTTCATATGGTACATCGCATGTTACTACATGCTATTGTATTTTACCACTATAAAAAATAATAAGGTTTTTAAAGAAATAACTGGAGAGAAAGCCTACTTGAACAGCTGTGATAGGCATTTTATTGAGTTAGCTATGCCTTGACTTAAAAAAGGTTGGGAAAATAGTGGCATGGAGGTTTGCCACACATAATTAGTTGCAACAATTATATGCACATTAGCGAGAAAAGTGAACCCCACTGTTCCTTCTGCACAACAAGGATGCTTTAAGAAACGACCTTGGACATCCTCCCTGCGGCAAGACGAGCTTCAGGCGGCAGAGCCTGAGCCGCGGTCCGCGGACGGCAGAGGGCGCGCGCGAACCGCCGGGCCGGCCCCTCTCGGCCTCCACCTGCCCTGCCCGGAGCGCGCGTCCCGCCCCAGGCTGCTGGACGCCGCCAGACCCTTGCCGCTGCCTTGGAGCCTCCCTGGCCCCTCGCAGGATCCTCCCCAGCCCCAGAGACCCCCGAGGCGGCGTCTACAGGCCCGGGCCAGGACTGACACCGCAGCCCCCTTCCTGGGTAGCGCCTCCCACCCGAGTCCACACCTGTGCCAGGAGACGGTGCGGCCGCCGAGCTGAGCTGAGCTGAGCTGACCTGGTCGGACACCCAGGCCCCTGCGCCCACCGCCCGGGCCGGCACCTGCTGCATGTAAAGGCAACGTGGAACCAAGCAGCGGGGCCGCAGAAAAGCCACCGTCCTCTTCGGGGTGCCACCTCCCTAGCCCTCCACCCTGGTTGGGGGCAGAACCTAACGCTCTCAGTGCTTATTTGCATGAAAATGACCACGAGGATTATAACAATCGCCGCCCAGGGCACTCCGCTCCCCAGGGACAGCCCAGGCCCTGCCGGGGAAGCTGTATTCCCCTCCAAACCATCCCCTGACAGCCTCCAGGAAGGGCTCAAGGTCGCTGCCTGCCACCTGCTCCAGCCTGGCCAGTAGCTGCCCAGGGTATAACCAGAGCTCTTAGGGGACAATGGGCACTCCCAGGCCACAGGCAGATGCTGGCCACATCCCACCTGGGCAGAAGACACGCCCGTCCTTTTCCCATCCGGCTCACCTGTGCCTGGCAGGGGAACAAGCCAGGTGAGGCTTCTCCCCAGGCGACAGCCCCTCTATCTAATGGCCAACAGCTGCCACGCCTTCGCGTCCCAGGCCCTTCCAGGCCTGTGTGCCTCCTCAAGGACCTGCTTTGCCCCCTCTGGGTCTCAGCCTGAATCCTCCTGCCCCTCCCAGGGCCAAGCCTCCGCCACTTTTCAAACCCAGCAAGGCCGCATCCCGCAGCCCTACTCACCTGGCCCCGCATCCGGGTCTGGCACCTCCAGCCTCAGGATCCCCCTCCAGCCAGGGCCTCCCTTCTCGCAGGGCCCTCCCGCTTCGGGGCGCAGTCCCAACCCCAACAACCCCTAGGCCCCCAGGGCTTCCTTCCGGAACGGCCCCACTCTCGCCAAGGGGTTCGTTTGTGCTGTGTGCCAGCTCTGTGCCAGGAACGCACTCCACCGCCACCCCTATCCCATACGGGCCACTGCCGCTCCCCTCAGGCTGGCCAGGGAGGGGAGCTGCAAGCGCTTATTAATCGCCAACTGTGTACTCAGTTCTGAGGCTGGCAGGAAGACTGAGTATGGAAAGGGGAAGCTCCGAAACCCGCTCAGGACCCCCTGTTGCCCACAGCCCTCCCCACCCCCAGCCATCACCTTTCGCACCCTGAGCTCCCGGGTCCTGGTGCCGACTGAGGGTTCTGCGGTCGTTGCGCCGGCTTCATTTTCTGTGGCCCTTCGTTCAACCAGCGACCGAAGCCCCCTTCAGAGCCCCAGGGTGACCCTGGGGGGTCCAGGCTGGTTGAGGGATCGGGGGCAGAAGGTGGATCCCCCCACGCTCCCTCTCCACTAGGCACCGGCGAGGAAGCCTTTTAGAAATGTCTGGGGTGTCTGGTGACACCTCTACCAAAAAAAATCATTACCTTCAAAGACGCCCAGGCTCCCGGGCAGGGGTCTTTGTCCCCTTCCTCCGGAACAGCGAGGCCTCCCCGCCCTCCCCCTGCAGCGCGAGTCTGACCCCCTTGCTCCCGCCCAACACCTGCCCAAGGTGCAATTACCCGTGCGTTCTTCCTGCCCCTGACTCGCCGCGTCCCGCCGCACGCGCGGAGGTGTTCCCACAGCGGTCGGCGAAGGACGGCCCCTCAACAACCCGCACGGGGGTCGTCGGGGCGGCTTTCCACGGAAGCGGGAGGGCGGGGGTCGTGGGGGGCGGCGGCGTCCTGGGGAGCCCGCCCCCGGAGTTCGCGGATGTGTGACCCGAGGCAGCCGGCTCGCCTCTGAGGGTCCCCGGTCCGCCCGGGTGCAGGGGGCTCCGGCTCCGTCCTGCGGGGGTCGCGGCGGGGCGAGCGCAGCCGCTGCAGGTAAAACGCCGCGCCCGGGTCTGGGGAGGGCTCCCCCGCGGCGGCCCCGCGCCAACAAAGGCCGGGCGAAGTGGGGAGCGGCGCCGGCGCCTGCCCGGGCCGGGGGGAGGACGTCGCGCCCGGGGCCTCTCGGCTGGACCGTCCGGGGTCTGTGCGACGCGGCTGGGGGCCCGGGTGACGCGGAGCGCGGGGCCGGGAGGGCTTCCTGGAGGCGGGGGCCCGGACGCCGCGTGGTCCCTTTAAGAGCCGGTCCCGGGGTGAGGACGGAAGGCGGCGGCAGCGCGACCCACCCGCACCCTGCACCCCGCCCCCCGCGGCCACCGCCTCGGCTTCACCCCGAGCCCGGGCTCCGCTGACGTCACCTGCCCCCGAGCCGCGCGAGCTGATTGGCTGCAGGTGACGTCAGGGGCTTTTTTCGCTCGGCATGACCTCATCCCCGCCGGCGGCCCCGCCCTCCGCCCCGGGCCTGTCACTCGCGGCCGAGCGCGGCGGCCGAGCCGGCTCCCCCCACACCGCCCCGCCGGACGCCGGACGCCCGAGCCCGAGCCCGAGCCCGAGCCGCGCCGGAACCGCACCGGCCGCGCCGCCGAGCGCGGGCTGGGATGCGCGCCGCGAAGCGCGCGCTGCCCCGCCCGCAGTGCGCGTCGCCCCGCCCGAGCGAGCGCTCCCCGCGGCGTTGGCGGCGGCGACGGCGGCCCGACAGGTCGACGCGGCCCGCCGCGCTCCCCGCCCCTGCCCCCGGCTGCGCGGGCCCGCCGGGCCCATGGACGGCGCAGCCGAGCGGGCGCCCTGAGCGCGGCGCGGGTCCCCGGAGCGCCCCCGAGGCGAGCGCGAGCGAGGTGAGCGGAGGCGCCGGCGGGGCGGGGGCGGGGGCAGGCGCCGGGGACTGGGTTCACCGGCCCGGGCCGGGGGGCGGAGGGCGCAGTGTCGGGGGCGCTGGGGCAGCGGCACCCGGCGGGCGCCCGGGAGGAGGAGGCGGCCCCGGAGTGAGCGGCCCCGGCCGGCCAGGACGCCCGGGACAGGGAGGCCCCTTCCGCGCCTTCCGCAGCGCCCGGCGGACCCGGGCCCAGCCCACGCCCGCCCGCCGCGTTGCCGTCCTTCTCCACGCAGCTCCTTCTTTGGGTGTGCAACGGGGGGGACAACAATCCGGGACCCACCAGGGCCACCTGAGATCCAGCGCCGATCTGCGCGACCCCCCAACGTCCCGAACGGCACCCCCGCGGGGGCCAGAACCGGAGCAGGCGGACCCTGGCCCGGAGCCGGTCCGGGAGGTGTGGAGCCTCGGCCGTGGGAGGGACGCGACGGCCTCTGGCGTGGGACACCCGAGAAGGGGCCGTCCCCTGTCGCAGGGGAGGGCTGCAGATCCATCCCCCCAAATGTCCAGGCCGCCCCGCACCCCCACCCCGGGGTGCCCAGCCTGCCCCTGAGGGATAAAGCCCCTGCGCCCTTCCGCTTGCTGCAGAGGCAGCCGCGGCGCTGGGGGAGGGGCTGGCACAGCCAGGCTGCTGCAGCCACCTCGCTAGGCCCAGCTGCCCAGCCTGGGATGCAGAGCAGACCAGGTGGGGGTACCTAACAGTCTGGCTTGGAGGGGAGGGGGCAACAATAGGCCCAGCCCCCGCAGGGTCACCCCTTCTGGGAGAATCTGCCTCCGTCTCCCTGCTCCGGGGTGTGTGTACGGGCCTCTGCTGAGGGGAATAGGGGCTCTGTGCTGCAGTGATGGGGGGCGGGGACGCTGTGGGATGGAGGAGGGGGTGGCAGGATGTAGTGTGGCTCCGCAGTGCTCTTGCTATGCAGCTTGGGGTGGGGGTGGGGTGCTGCAGGCCAGGGAAGCTCCTTTTGTGCCCCTGCGGGGGTTCCGAGGGGAGGTCCAAGCCCGGGCACTCTCCCTTGCCTCCCTTCTGGCACAGCCCACCCAGAGACACTGTTGCACCTAGGCGGTGCAGGGGTGAATGTAGCACCCCAGGCCCCCAGCCCTCCACCAGGAGGACAGTCCCATGTATTCACTGATAATAAGCACTGGATGCGGATGGCAGATCATGTGACCCCAGCTGGAAGTTCATCCTGAAGTCTCGCTGAAATACCTCCTGCTTCAGCCAGCCTGGGGCTGCAGGAGTGTGGCTGGGCAGGTTCTATTCCCCTGGTGCCCTCTGTCCTCGGGGAGGTTTCTGGGAATAAAGTCCCATGAACAGAGGTGCAGAAAGAAGCTTAGAGTCAGTCTCTGCTCCAGAACCCCTCTCTTCTCAGGCTGGGGCTGAAGTCAGGGCCCAGAGGCTGCCACTGGGCAGGTGTCTCGAAGGGCCTTCGGCTGGGGCCTGGTGAGACCTAGGTGTCACTTCTTGCAGAAGGCAAGGAAAGGGGCAGGCCCACAGCGAGAGAGAGGTGGTTCTGGACATGAGAACTGCACCGGCTGAGGCCCCCTCTGCTGGAGCTGCTCAGGGCAGTGAACCTTGGAAGCCCCAGGCTGATCCTGGTGTTTAGCGTGTGGCACAGTGACCAGGAGGAGGGACACAGGCCCGGTGGGAAGGGAGGGAACCTGGATATGTCCTCACGGCCCCCTGTGCCAAGCCCTCCCATCCCCTGCCCTACCCGGACCCTGTTCCTGGGATTGGAGGGAGCCCCCAGCCCTACCCCACTTTCTCCCAGGTCCACAGCTTCCCCAGGCCAGCGGAACAGAGTGTAGGCCAGCTTGGGTCCTGTACCACTAGCCCAGGGAGCTGAGGGGATGCAGGGATGAGGGCATTTGGGGGAGCCCAGTGAGGGAAGAGAGCTGACCTGCATGAGTGCAGGGTCCCTGCCTCCCAGAGTCGCCACCCACCAGTCTCTCCCCAGCCTCCTTATTGTGACGATTTCTGCCTTCAGAGGCATCCGTGGGTGACAGTGAGCCGGACAGCTCGAAGAGCCTGCCTAGGTGTAAGGGGGAGACACAGTCCCATCCCCCCATGCTTGACAGTCCTGGCAGCTATCTCTGAAGGTCATGAGTCCCCATTTCTAGGTGCTGAGCAGAAGGTAACGTGGCGAGGATGCTGTCAGTTGAGAGTTGGGGATGGCCTGGGACTCCCTGGTCCCATCTGTGCTCAGGGACAGGAATGTGCTGTGTAGAGGCGCTGGGTGTGGGAGTTCGTGTGTGTAAGGAGTCTGGAGCTGGCCCCTGGGGTACTGGAGTCCTGGGGTTCTCAGGGGATTCTGCATACAGAGGGCAAGGACGTGCGTGTACTCTAGTGTACGTCCAGCACCACATGTGTGCACACATTCACGCGTGGGTACTTGCACACAGGGCAGGTGGATTGTGGGTAAGGGACACCAGTGTGTGGAGTGGGTGTGCAAAGGGGTGTGTTCTGGCACACCTAGAGGGCAGTGTGCACGTAGCACCGGAGCCAGGCGTGCTGTGTCCCAGGGGAGGGTGGCTGCCTGGTGCCTCCTGGAAGGTGTGGGCCTGGGAGGAGCCTTCTTGTGACTTTGGACTTGGAAACTGCTTCCTCCTGGGCTCAAAGACCTTTGAAGAGGGTGTATGGGGCTGTGCCAGGGGGCATCCTGTCCCCAGCCCTGCCTGTCACCCCCCAGCCCCTAGGCACTGGAAGAGCAGGGCCACAAGTACTCAGGAGGGCTTGGCATGTGGGGCCATGAAAGGAGAGGCATGGAACCAACACCATTCACGTTTCCTTACCTCTGTTCCCACATGGCCAGTGCTGACCCCACTGATCTGCACCAGGCTGTCCTTAGTGTCTCCGTTCCCCACCCCACCCAACCTGCCCCATCCCTGGCATAGCTGGGCCCTGATCCTTAGCATCTGGGGAACCAGAGGTGAGGGACATGCCCCCCTGGGAGCTGTAGGTCCAAGGAGACCCTGTGAGGATGCTCTCCCAGAGGCCAGCACAGCACGGAGGCTTCCTGCAGGAGGGGGCACCTGGTCAGCCCTTCGCAGTACAGAGAAGGCCTCCGAGGGGGTGGGGAGCCAGTGAGCTGCAGGGAGCGTGCTGGGCACAGCAGCTACTGGGAGTGGGAAGGAAGGTTAGGACCAGGTAGGGCAGAGGAGCGGAGGGGCTGAGGACTGGGCTCTGCACTGCCGGGCACCTGCCAGGGTGGGTGGAAGAGAGCAGGGAGGGGCGCATGCCCACTCTGCAGAGGAGCCTGCTCCGTGGTGGTGGCTGCCGCAGGAGCAGCGGTTGCCTGGCACCTCTGCCGTTGCCATGACGACAGTGGAGGTGCTAACTTGCTAATGAGTCCCCTTCGGCTGCAAATAACAATATTGTTGTGGGTGATAGGCCCAGCTCCAGCTCAGGGTTGCTTGGGAGGCAGAGCAGGGACACGTAAAGGCTGGGACCCATCCTCCCGCCCCTCCAGCCCCTGCCCACTGCCCTGCAGCTGGACTTGCCCTCCTCCCTCCCCTCCCTCTGGGTCTCAGGCCTGGCTAGCTGTACCGAGTATCAGGACTCAAGGCTGTATGAAGCCTAGGCCCTGGCTGCAGGGAGGGCGAGGGGGGCCTCTTCTCACACCTGCCCTCCTCCCTGCACTGGCTGGTGTTTGCTTCTGTTGTTTTCAGTGACAGAGAATCCACCCCCACTTAACGGATGAGGACATTGAGGCCAGGGGCGGCTCCTCGAAGGACCCCCAGCCCAAGTGTCCTGCTACTGCGGCCTTCTGGGGGTTCTGGGCCTCTGAGCTGGGCCCTTGGGTGTTGTATGGGGCACCTGGAGCCGCTGTCTCCCCAGGACCACACATCTGGGCCCTCGCCTCTCACCACCTGTGCAAGTCTCAGGTAGAACTCAGGAAGGACAACAGCTCATTGAGGCTCTTCTGTAGGCAGTCAGGGACCCCCTTGGCAGGCAGAGACCCTCCACAGCAGGCAGGCAGCAGGCTCTTTTGCTGTTGAACTTGCTGGGTCTGGCCCTGGGGAGGGCTCCCAGGCCTCGTTCCCCACCCTGTGGTGGAGGCTGGAGCACCAGCCCAGGAACGGTGTCTGAGTGGGATCCTGAGGCCCCGCTGACCAGGTGCCACCGCAGTCCCTGGTGTCAGCTGTGGGGTCAGCTGAGGCTGCCCGTCCACAGCCAGGTGTTTCCCTGGCCTCTGGCAGCAGGATGGGTGGTGGGAATGCACAGAGGCCTGGGCCTAGTCGAGGCGGGAGGGGCCAGGCAGGGGCCAAGCTTAAAGTGTCTGGAGAAGGAGAGTGAGTGGAAGGCTGGGGCTCCTGGGCAGGTAGGAGCTGGGACCTGCCCCTCAGTGTGGAGTCGGGGCTGGGCCAGGGACGAGGTCCACACCAGCCTTGCACCTGCTGCTCTGTGAACTCTCCCATTGGCCCCCGCCGGCCTGGTAGCTGACCTGGAGAGTCCAGAAATGGTGGTGGCCTCTGTCCCCAGCCTGCTGTTGGCAGTGCACGGGTGTCCTCAGGGTGGCTGCCCCCAGTTCCCCCTGTGGCTGTGGGTTGGGGGTCTGAATTGCTGAAGGTCCACTGCCCACCATAGCCCGCTCTGCACAGCGCCCAGGGTGCACCCATCTCCCAGCCTTCCCTCACTCCTGAGCTGGGTGGAGTAAACTTCCTGACTGGCTGGCAGCCGTGGGGGCACAAGGGAGATGACCTTGCAGGAACACCCAGTGCCCATCTGTGTGTGACCCAGGTGTGGCCCAGGTCCCACCCTTGCCCCAAGCCTCAGTTTCCCCATAGTTGAAGCAAACTCATCATCCTTACACTGTGTGCCTCCTAGGGGCTGTGAGTCTAAAGTGGACCCAGAGGAAGGCCAGTCTTGACAGGTGACAGGGAGATGGGGCCCGGCAGTGGGGCAGTGACAGAGGCTTGTCACCAAGCCTGCAGGAGGAGCTTCCAGAGGCTCCATCCTCAAACATCCCTACTCCCCCTGCCTACCTGGCAGTCTGCCTTTGCAGACCATGCCAAGGGCCTGGTCCGTGCAGGGTACCCGACACTGACCTTCCTCCTAGGACTGCCCCACCCCTCCCATCCTGGGCCCCATCAGCCCCTGAAGGGGCTCGCTAGACCCCAGGCTCTGCTGGGGGAGGGGCACTCTGTGGGTGCGACGCACCCCTGCAGGAGCTGGGCACTCACGCCCAGCAGGCACGCGGCGTGCACTAAACCTCAGCCTGCAGGCCAGGAGGGCAGCAGTGGCAAAGGAGTCGTGCCTCCGTGCCCGAGCCCCTCCCGAACCCTCCTGCCATCCAGCTGCCCCCGGGAGCCCAGTCTCCAGTGGAGGCAGCCCCAAGGCCACCATCCACCAGGGGCTGGATTACCGGCTTATGGAGCTGTGCTGGAGTCAAGTCTGCAGGGATTGGACTCCCTGGGGAGTCCAGGGAGGGAGGGGCAGGTGTGAAGACAGCAAGCCTGGAGGAGGGCAGAGAGCTGGACCGTGAGGGAGGGTGAGGCGCCGTCCAGACCCCTGACTTGCTGGGGGTCCTGTGGTGGAAAAGATGCAGAGGTCACAGCAGGGAGATGCCTGTGTCCCAGGGATGAGATGGAATGTTCTGGAATGCCTAAGGGTGGGTGAACCCCAGGGCCTACAGGAAGAACCCCTGGCCTCGTCCAGCCCTCAGACCCTTCCCTGTGGGGCCCATTTGCCCCCCCCGCCTTGTTGCATCCTGCTGCTGGCCTTGTGACCTCGACGGGGTCTCACCAGAGGGAGAAGGGTCCCCACGGGCACACGGGCTCAGATGTCCTGGTGGGCGCAGGTCCCAGCTCCGATCTGTCCTGGGGAGCCTCTGGGTGCCACCCAGGGACCTGCAGCACTGCTGACCGTCCCCCTGTCCCTGCAGGTCCGGCACCATGTGCTAGGTCACTCCCAGCGCAAGGCCACACCTGGGCCGTCGGAGCAGCCCCCCCTCACTTCAGGGGTCACCCTCCCCAGCACCCATTGCCCCACCATGGCCGGGGACCGGCTCCCGAGGAAGGTTATGGACGCCAAGAAGCTGGCCAGCCTGCTGCGGGGCGGGCCTGGGGGGCCGCTGGTCATCGACAGCCGCTCCTTCGTGGAGTACAACAGCTGGCATGTGCTCAGCTCCGTCAACATCTGCTGCTCCAAGCTGGTGAAGCGGCGGCTGCAGCAGGGCAAGGTGACCATTGCGGAACTCATCCAGCCGGCTGCACGCAGCCAGGTACCCAGCCCACTGCCTGCCAGGCGTGCACCACCTCCAGGGTCCATGGCTAAGGGGCCCTCAGCTTGGGCAGCACCCCCTCCTCTGCCCTCCGGTCCAAATTCGGCTCCTTGGGGTCACAGCCGGGGACGTGTGGAGCAGCCCCCTGGCACTTGCCTCTCACCACTGCCTGTTGCCCCTGCTCAGGGCACCCCCCCACATACTCCCGCAGCACCCCTCCCTACCCTCCCTCCAGGGCCTCCTCGCTCAGCTCCTGCACGGAGGTGCCGGGCCCTCCCCACGCAGATAGGACTGTGTGGCCGGGGCTGGCCCAGGTTCACAGAGGGGAGCCGTGAACAGAAGAGCAAGGTGTGACCACATGGCAGTGGGAGCAGCCCAGCTGGCCTGCACGGGACAGGGACAGCTGTGTGGTCCACTCCCCCTGCTGTGAGGACAGGAGGGGTGGTCAAAAGGCACACGTGAGCAGTCGGTGTCCCTGTCCCACAGCTCCCCCCAGCCCGCAGAGTATTCGGGGACCCAGAATTCTCTCTGTGGCCCCCCAGGAATATCCTTCTGGGGAAGGATAGCTCATTCCGCGCAGGACCATCAGGTGCAGCTGGGGAGGGGCCAGCGGGGCTGTTGACCTGTAAAGGTGGCGGCACCTCCTCTTTCCACTGCCTCACAGAGGGACAAGGGAGACAAGCTCTTGGCACTGGAGGCTTTGAGAGGGGTCTGGGTCACTGATATGCCCTGTTCAAAACTGGGAAATCGGAGAACTCAAGTGGGATGGCCACTGGCCAGGAGTCCGCCCGCCCCAAGGCCAGAAGCGGCTCCCTTTGGCTTCCAACAAGGGGAATCCGGTGATTAATGACCCCCAGCGAGGACTCCCGGCAGAGTGCGATCCCATTGGCTGCCGATGACGTCACCCCAGCCTGGGGTTGGCGGCTCAGCTGGCTTAAGGGCTGAGTGTGCTTTCAGGGCGGGGGCACCGGTGCTGTCTGAGCAAAAGCCGCTCAACATCTGGGCCGGCCCTTGGGGTGGGGGAGGAGGGCAGGAGGAACCCCGCTTCCAGCTACTGCCTCCAGAATTGGTGCAGGGGCCTGGGGTCCTGCTTCAGCCCTCTGTTTCTCCGCTGGGGGTTGGGGAGGGGATAGGGTGGGGAGCAGAATTGCTGGCTGCAGAGTTAGCCCCACTGAGAGCCCACACCCAAAGGCATCTGCCTCTGGAATCCCTGAAATGGGCTGAGCTTCCCTGTCCCTCCACCACCCCAGGAACCCAGCCAGGTCCTATGCTGGGCTCCCATTGCACTCACCTGTGTCTCCTCCACACGGGCCTGGCCCAGAGTACCCGTGCCCTTCACCCATGTGCATGGCATGGGGGCACAGCTGCGCAGGGCAGGAGCCCATCCCTCCGGGCCCCCATGGCCTGCTGTGTGGTGTGGGTGTGTGCACCTGGGCCTTTGGCAGATGGAGAGTATGTGAGGTGCGTGACCGCACCTGCCCTCCCCTCCAGGCAGCAAGGTGACGGCTGCCTGCCTCCCATCATCTGATGCCCTTACTATTCCCTTGGGCCAGTGCGGCTGGGACAGGGCCAGGGCATTGAGAGGTGGAGGCAGCATGCTGACCTCTGCCCCATGGCCCCCAGGTGGAGGCCACAGAGCCACAGGACGTGGTGGTCTATGACCAGAGCACGCGGGACGCCAGCGTGCTGGCCGCAGACAGCTTCCTCTCCATCCTGCTGAGCAAGCTGGACGGCTGCTTCGACAGCGTGGCCATCCTCACGGGTGAGTCTGGGACCCATGCCTCCCTGAGGCACTCCCTCCGCCAGCAGTGGGGCTGGGGCTGAGGCGCCAGGGAAGCGTCTCCTGGGCACAGGGGCATCTCCATACATTGGTAGTTCTTTTTTTTTTTTTTTTTTTTTTTTGAGACGGAGTCTCACTCTGTCGCCCAGGCTGGAGTGCAGTGGCGTGATCTCAGCTCACTGCAAGCTCTGCCTCCCGGGTTCCCGCCATTCTCCTGCCTCAGCCTCCCGAGTAGCTGGGACTACAGGAGCCGCCACCATGCCCAGCTAATTTTTTGTATTTTTAGTAGAGACGGGGTTTCACCGTGTTAGTCAGGATGGTCTGCATCGTCTGACCTCATGATCCGCCCGCCTCGGCCTCCCAAAGTGCTAGGATTATAGGCGTGAGCCACCGTGCCTGGCCACATCTGTGGTTCTTGAGGCCCCAGCATCCTCTCCCCAGGACCCCCACACTTCAGGACCCACCAATGAGTCTATCCTCAACACAGAAGGAAACCTCACAGTACAGCTGGGCTCTGGGGGTGTAGGGCGAGGCATGCAGGCTGGGAGCCCCTCCCCCTCCCGGGGCTCCTGTCAGAAGCGGGAGGCAGAGGCCCCGTCCTCTGGAAACTCAGTTGGAGCCGTGGGGTCCCGAGGAAGTCCCCCTGCCCCCAAAAACCCAGCTAAGTGCAGGTTGCCTGGCAACAGCCTGGCATCAAGGCTGCTCACTGGGTCCCAGCAAACAGCCTCCAGGGATCCCTGTGGCCCAAAAGCAGCCTGGGCAATGGGCCCTAAGCCCTGGAAGCAGGGAAGCCACCTCCCTACACATACTGATACACTCACACACACTCTCACACACACACTCTCTCACACACACACACACACACACACTCTCACATAACACACATGCACACACACTCACACTCATATAACACACACGTGCACACACTCACAGTCATACACACACTCACACTCATACACACACACGCACACATACTCACACATACACTCACACTAACACATACACATGCACACTCATACACTCACACACACACACACACATACACTCACACACACATACACTCAAACACACACATACACTCACATACACTCTAACACTCATACGCACACTCATACACTCACACATACACTCACACACTAACACATACACATGCACACTCATACACTCACACACACACACACACATGCACTCATATACACTCACACACACACACTCAAATACACACATACACTCACATACACTCTAACACTCATACGCACACTCATACACTCTCTCACACACACACATACACTCACATACACTCACACACCACATACACACGCACACTCATATACACTCACACACATACACACACACACACACAAACACACACATACACTCACATACACTCTAACACTCATACGCACACTCATACACTCACACACATGCACTCACACACACACCACATACACACGCACACTCATATACACTCACACACATACTCACACACACTCACACACGCACACACAAACACACACATACACTCTAACATTCATACGCACACTCATACACTCTCACACATACACTCACACTAACACACATGCACACTGATACACTCACACACACACACACACACTCACACACATGCACTCATATACACTCACACACACACTCAAACACACACATACACTCACACTCTAACACTCATACGCACACTCATACACTCACACACACACACATGCACTCACATACACTCACACACCACATACACACGCACACTCATATACACTCACACACATACTCACACATACACTCACACACATGCACACTCATATACACTCACATTCTCACACACACACACTCGTGGTCCCAGAGGGTTCTTTCTTCCCTTGGGCTGTGACTGAGGGTGTGTCTGTAGAATCCACTTCCTGGGGTCGGCCCAGGTCCCAGAGCCCGGTGGAGCTGGCCTGTCCCAGGGACGTGCACCCTCCCCCACCCAGGTCTGGGGTCTTTGTCTAGGCTCCTGCCACCTGGCCTGGGTTACCAGGGGCTGTGCCAGGCAAGCAGAGGGCATGGGGGACTGTGGGGTGCAGGCGTGGTGGGGTGGGGAGTGGGCAGCCAAGCCAGGCCGTTGGCCCTGTGTCCAATGGAAGCAGGTGCCTTCAACCCAGCCTGAGGGCGGCTGTAGGCAGATGAGGGGGTAACAGCCACTTTGACCAGGCCGACCTCCCGAGATGCCATGTCCTGGGACCTGAAGGGCACCCAGAGGCTCGAGGGTGGTCCGGTGTCCTGGGCAAGAGCATTGAGGCCAGGCTCCCTCCCCACCTGTCTGTGTGTAAGTCCAGCACCCTGCATTGTTGTGTGGTCCTGGTCATGGTCAGAGGGTGTCTGTGCATCTGTGCATGACTCTGGGCGTCTGGTGACCAGCATCTGCCTCTGCGTGTGTGTATGTGAGCATGTGTGTGTATGTGTGTGTGCATGGATGTGTGTGCGTGTGCATGTGTATATGCATGTATGTACATGCAGGTATATTTGTGTATGTACTCGCCTGTGCCTCTCTGGTGAGATTTGGTTTTTGTATACATACGTGTAAACTCTCAGAACCAGAAGCCATAGAATGACGCACTCTGATCCAACCTTCATCCCCTAGGTTAAGTCTGAGGGCGGAACTAGTGGGTAGGGGAGGGGAGAGAGAATAGTTTGGGGCTTTTTACAGCTCACCAGGTGTAATAGGACCCCTCCCAAGGGCCAGTTTGCTGCCCTAGCCAGGAATGGGAGCCAGGAGGCCCTTCTCGGAGGTTGCGAAGGGTCCCAGAGTGGCACCTCCCTACCCCCAGGCGAATCCCAGGAAAGTCCCGAGCCTGGAAGGGCCTGTCTCCCTCAAGGCCAGAGTGGGATGGTTTGCGGGGTGGGGCCCTCACCCAGCACTGGTGGGTGGAACAGCATGAGTGTGCAGGTGGATGTGGGTGTGGGTGTGGGCATGGGAGGGGCCGGGCCTGGGCTGGGATTTGCCAGGAGGGCACTCCTGGGGCCTGGTCATGCCCGCCGACTCTCGGGACCCTCTCAGCTGCCTTTCTGTGCTGACATCTGCCCTGCAAGGTTGAGGCCGTGTCCCCTTTTCTCCAGAAGCGCAGATGCCAAGGAGCCCCAGGCCCCATGGTGTCGCGTGGGTTCATGGCAGCACCCAAGCCAGCCCACGGGCTGTGCCCTCAGACTCCCTCCCTCCCTGTGGTGGGCACAGCCCCTGCTCTGGCTGGCTCTTCGAAGAACCAGGGAGAGTGGGAAAGAATATATTGGGTGGGGCAGGGGTGCTGCCCCTCACCCAGGAGAAAGGACATTCCGGGATCCCGCAGCACAAGTGACACAGTTCCTTGGCCCATTTGCGGGGACAGCAGAGGCCGGAACGTGAGGAACAAGCCTCTGTCCTCCCCACAACAGGGCAGGTTTGCGGGAAGCGGGAGAGAGTGGTGGGACAGGCCGTGCTGGGGTCCCAGGACTGCTGTGAACCCCACCTCCCCCTGCCACTCCTCTTCCCCCACTCCAGCTGTGCTGCTCACAATGCTGGGGGGCAAGCGGCACGGGATGGGAGAGGGTTCTGGCCCTTTAAGCAGCAGCCCGCAGTCGGCCTTGGACCCTCAGCCGGACAACTGCACTGCAAGTGGGTGGGGTGGCAGCCCCCGCCCTGGCAAGGAGTCCGGGGGTCACGGAAGTGGCGGGCAGAAGCATGTCTGTAACTGTGGCCATAGGCGCTTGCAGGATCTCCCAGGTGGCATGGGGCGGGCACACATCCTGGTACACATGCCTTTTTTCAAGTCTGGGATTTCATTGTGAATAGCAGGTGAACTGCAGGCACCACCCCAGCAACCCCCGAGTAGGGGAGCAGGGATACTGGGAAGGTGCCTCTGGAGATGCCTGGGGGTAGGGGTGCCTCCCCAGGGCCCAAAGAGTGCTGGGACCTACAAAGGGTCCACTGAATCCCAACACCCCTCGCTTATTACTCACCCCCCAGAGCCTGGGTGGTTCTGACATCCCTGAAGCCTCGGTCCCTGCTAGACCTGGCGTCCACAGTGGGGTCTGTAGGGACATCCACACTACCTGCTCCACCTGGGGAGGTCCTGGGAAGCTTCCCGGGGAATTGCTGCCACAGCTGTCAGGTCTCTGCACCTGTCCAGAGACTTCCCTGCCTTTACCTCCTTTGGGAGAGGTGGGAGAGTTCTGATGGAATCCCCACCACCACCACCACCACCTCCTCCTCTGGCCAGGCCCTGGAGAAAGCAGAGAGTAAGGCACAAAATCCCTGGGAGAGGCACGGGGACGAGGAGAGGCAGCAGGTGCCAGAAGAGTCTGCAGGGAAGTGGTGCAGCCCCTCCCCCTCCCTGGGGCTGTCCTGCAGCAGGAACATCCAGGGCTCCCCCAGCTCAGAACAGTGAGCGGAAGCTACAGTGCCCACCCCGGCCTCTGCTCAGGGGAACCTGCAAGCTGGGGTGTCGTTGGTAACAAGTCACCTACCTGCTTCCCCCTGTCCAGCCAGCAGATTCCCACAGAAGGGACTGTTCCTCCAAGGCTGCTGCCTCAACCCACCCAGCCTGGAGCTTCTCCCATCTCCACAGGCCCCCAGCGTCACACCCTTTTTAGGGACACGGGGAGCTGGCACAGCAGGCGTTCTGGTTAGAGGTTTGCACACACTCCCCTATCCTCAGGAGTTATCCAGGGTGGCTGTACTCCACCCAGCAGGGGAGGACGGAGAGTGGAGGAGCCCTGGGGGCACGCGGGGCAGGCAGCGGGCACCCACTGCACATGTGGCACCAGCCTCTTCTGCAAACCAGGACAAAAAAGAGCCCTGGGGTTCCCAGGCCCTGAGCCCCCGCAGTCACTCCCCTGCCTCGTACGGTGGGATAGGGCAGGCCTCAGCCCAGCTGCCTCAGGCTCTGCACAAGCAGGAGCTGGCTTGCCATGGGGCTCGTATCCTGGAAAGTGTCACCGGGGTGGCGCTGGGCCGTGCTGGCCCCACCCTCCCAAGAGCTGGCAGCCACCAGGTGGGTGCTGCCCAGTTTCTGGTCCACCTCGGTGGTCACCCCAACCAGGTCAGGGGCAGCCAGGTCCATTCTCACCATGTGTCTTCGTGCTCATTATCTTCTTGGAGCCACACGATGCCGTGCGGCAGGCAGGAGGAGGAAGCAGAGACCAGAGCCAAGGTGTGCACTGCCCATGGTCACTGAGTCAGACATCCAGGGATTCATACTTCAGTCTTTCCAGCTGGTGCGGGGCAGAGGATTTCCTCCCACCAGCCTATGGCCTCGGACTTGGATGTGTGTGGAAGGCAGCAGCACACGCCGGTCACATGTGCAGTGGGTGCCCACTGCCTGCCCCGCGTGCCCCCAGTGCCCAGGGCTCCTCCACTCTCCGTCCTCCCCTGCTGGGTGGAGTAGAGCCATAACCAGATGGCAAATGCCCCCAGGGCTGTGCCAGGGTGATGTCATGCCTGGGGAGGGGGAGGGCCTCTCGGAAGCCCTGGCCTCCTGGTCCTGGCACCTAAGCCCAGGCCTGGGGCTCCCAGCCAGCTGGAGGCAGGGAGGCATTGCATCAGCACAGGGGAGGAGGAAGGCCCAGCCTGGCTCCCGGCCGTGGGTATGGGAGACAGGGGTGCTCACGAGGGCCTCTCCTCTGGGCTGTGTGACCCACACCCTCAGCAGGAGACTCCTGTGACCTCTGAGCCTGCCCCCGCCTGGGTCCAGCGCCTGCCGCGCTGGCCAGCCACCTCAACCCCACCTTTACCGGCATCATAGCAGCGTCCTCAGCTGGGTCAGGCCCTAATTAGCATGAGGAGGAATGTGGGCGTAGGTGTGGGCTGTAAATGTGTGGCAGCACCCCCTCCCCCACCGCGGCCAGAGCAGGTGCGCTGCCAGAGGCTTGCTGGCTGGGCTGAGGCTCGGGTCTGAGCTGGGTGTGACTGATCCTCAGCAGTAGATGGGGTGCCCTAGGTGGACAGGGCACCCTAGGCGGACGGGGAGGCCTAGGTGTTCTCTCAACCCACCTGACGGGCCTCCTCCAACAGGGGGCTTCGCCACCTTCTCCTCCTGCTTCCCCGGCCTCTGCGAGGGCAAGCCTGCTGCCCTGCTACCCATGAGCCTCTCCCAGCCCTGCCTGCCTGTGCCCAGCGTGGGCCTGACCCGCATCCTGCCTCACCTCTACCTGGGCTCGCAGAAAGACGTCCTGAACAAGGTGTGTGTGCAGTGGACTTGGGGGGCGGTCAATGGGAAAGGGGCAGGAGCTCCAGAGGCAGCTTGGCAGCAGCGTGGGGGATGAGGGAGGAAAGGAGCTGAAGGCAGTGGATGAGCTGGGTGTGGGAGAAGCATGGGTGGGGGCCCAGGAGGACCCCAGGTTCCCCACCCCTGCCCCCGGCAGGACCACAGCAGGGCTTGGGGGAGGGCCCAGCAGGGCTTGGGGGAGGAGCGGGAAGCTGGCATGCCAAGCTTCGGATGTCACTGGGCCCCTGTCCAACTCTGAAAGAATCCCGTGTTTTAAACATGGTGACGAGGGAAAAGGGTAAAAGCCACCACCCAGGCAACCATAAAATTCCTAGGAGCCCACCACCGGCCATGGGTGGGGCCTGCAGATGGAGGCCAGCCATGCCCCCACCCCCTACACAGGCCCAGGGTGCCAGGGTGGACCAGAGAGGCCTCCTGGGCCCACCCCTGGATATACTGGGATCCGGGACAGGTTCCAAGGCTCCCAGGACCACCCCAGGATTCTAAAGGCCCTCCTGACGGCAGGGCAGGAAAAGCCTCCGCCTTCAATCCCGCCCCCAGCTTCTCCCACCCCTTTCCAACCCGTCCTCCCGCCCCTCCAGGATCTGATGACGCAGAATGGAATAAGCTACGTCCTCAACGCCAGCAACTCCTGCCCCAAACCTGACTTCATCTGCGAGAGCCGCTTCATGAGGGTCCCCATCAATGACAACTACTGTGAAAAACTGCTGCCTTGGCTGGACAAGTCCATCGAGTTCATCGGTGAGCCTGCGGCGGGCGGAGGGTGGGGGCCTGGCTAGAGGAAGGCTAGAGCTGGGCGTGGCCACAGGCACAGGAGGGGTCCCGGGGAAGTAGCCCGAACTGTTGGCAGTCGGGCAGGTGGGGTCCCCTCCCTGGGCCAGGGAGAAGCTGTGCAGGCTTAGCCCTCACCTGGCCCCCATGGCCCACCTGCCCAGATAAAGCCAAGCTCTCCAGCTGTCAAGTCATCGTCCACTGTCTGGCCGGCATCTCCCGTTCTGCCACCATCGCCATTGCCTACATCATGAAGACCATGGGCATGTCCTCCGATGACGCCTACAGGTACCGCCTTCCCCAGTCACGCACTTGTGACTCACGGCGTCACCTGCCTTCCCTCGGCTGCCCAGTTGCACCAGAATGGCCCCACCGTCCAGGACCCCTGGCAAGGGAGGAGGGCCTGAGACCAGCCTGGCACACATGAGCTCATGGGTGCCCAGTGGGTGGTGTCAGGTGGGCAGCCTGGCCCTGGCGGGCGCCTGGGACTAAGCCTCTCCCCCTGCCCCCACGCAGGTTCGTGAAGGACAGGCGTCCGTCCATCTCGCCCAACTTCAACTTCCTGGGCCAGCTGCTGGAGTACGAGCGCAGCCTGAAGCTGCTGGCCGCCCTGCAGAGCGACGCGGGCACCCCCTCAGGGACGCCGGAGCCTCCGCCCAGCCCTGCCGCCGGGTCCCCGCTGCCACGGCTGCCACCACCTACCTCAGAGAGCGCTGCCACCGGGAATGCGGCTGCCAGGGAGGGCGGCCTGAGCACGGGCAGGGAGCTCCCCGCGCCCCCCACGCCCCCCACGCCCCCCACGCCCCCGGCCACCAGCGCGCTGCAGCAGGGCCTGCGGGGCCTGCACCTCTCCTCGGACCGCCTGCAGGACACCAACCGCCTCAAGCGCTCCTTCTCGCTGGACATCAAGTCGGCCTACGCCCCCAGCAGGCGGCCCGACGGCCCCGGGCCCCCGGACCCCGGCGAGGCCCCGAAACTCTGCAAGCTGGACAGCCCATCGGGGACCGCGCTGGGCCTGCCCTCGCCCAGCCCGGACAGCCCGGACGCCGCACCCGAGGCGCGCCCACGGCCCCGCCGGCGACCCCGGCCCCCCGCCGGCTCCCCGGCACGCTCCCCCGCGCACAGCCTCGGCCTGAACTTTGGCGACGCGGCCCGGCAGACTCCGCGGCACGGCCTCTCGGCCCTGTCGGCGCCCGGGCTGCCCGGTCCTGGCCAGCCAGCCGGCCCCGGGGCCTGGGCACCGCCGCTCGACTCCCCGGGCACGCCGTCGCCCGACGGGCCCTGGTGCTTCAGCCCCGAGGGCGCGCAGGGGGCGGGCGGGGTGCTGTTTGCGCCCTTCGGCCGGGTGGGCGCCCCGGGATCGGGCGGCGGCAGCAGCGACCTGCGGCGGCGAGAGGCAGCGAGGGCTGAGCCCCGGGACGCGCGGACCGGCTGGCCGGACGAGCCGGCCCCGGAGACGCAGTTCAAGCGCCGCAGCTGCCAGATGGAGTTCGAGGAGGGCATGGTGGAGGGGCGTGCGCGCGGCGAGGAGCTGGCCGCCCTGGGCAAGCAGGCGAGCTTCTCGGGCAGCGTGGAGGTCATCGAGGTGTCTTGACCCCTCCGCTGCCCTCGGCTCCGCCGCCCGCAGCCGGGCCCGTTATAAATATATATTATATATAACGCAAAGAAAGGTAAATGGTTTTACTGGGATTTTTATCGAGAAGTAAATATTTCGATTTTTTATTTATTTAAGCTGTTCATTCTGGCAATGATTTGGCAACAGTGCGGGTGGTCCTCGAGCTCTATTTTTACTGTCTGGTATTTAAACTGAAACACACGTTTCTAAGCAATACGAGGCCACCTTCAGTCGCAAGCTGGGTGCCAGGCCTGGGGCCCCTCCCAGTTCCCCCGCCCCAGGAAGCCCTGCTGACCTTTGCAAAGGCTGCCGAGCTCTCGTGCACTTTTTACATAAGAAAAAGGTGAAAAAAAGAAAAAAAAAAAAAAAAAAAAACTTCTTTGCCACAAACTGAGCCGCAGAACCTCCCTTCTTCCCCCACCCACCTCTCCTGCTCTCTCCCTTCTCTGCGCCAGCCTAGGGCTCTGCACCAAAGCCATAGGTTGGGGGAGCAGGAGCTGGTGTGCCCCGGAGCGGTGCGGCCAACCCTCCACCAGCTCCAGGCGCCAAATCTTGGTGGCAGGGAGGGCACCCCGCTGCCTGTTGCCCCAGAGCTGTTCCCTGGCAGGGGAGGACAGGCATTAGGCCCCATGGTGCCGGGGTGTTCAGAGAGGCTGAGGAATAGAACAGTGTGTAGGGGCCTGGGGCAGGGGGTTCTGGAGTGTCAGATGAGGTGGAGGCCGGGGAGGACAGGGGTGTTAGTGCCCCCAACTCCGCCAGAGCCCCAGTCCAGCCACAGAGTGGCTCAGCAAGGCCATTAAGAGGGCTGCGGCCCTCCCTTCTCCCTTGCCCATGCTCCTAGAGCTGCCTCTCGGGCAGGGCGGCACCACTGCAGGAGAGGAGCTTGGCCTCTGGGAGTCAGGCAGGAGGGGCCTGGCTAGCCAGTGCTTTCTCCACTGGGCAGGGAGCCCTGGACCCCCAGGTATGAGGAGAGGATGGGCTTAGGGTCCTGTTCCAGGTCCGTCCCCCACCTAGCAAGGCCCCAGGCAGAACTTGGAATTCAGGCTCGCCTGCAGGCCGAGGGGTTCCACAAGCAGGTGCTGCTCGCACAGGGAGTTCAGGCACCAGCCAAGCCCCTGTGCTTCTGTGGTAGGCCTGCTTCACTTAGGGAGCGCTGCCTCAAGGCAGATAAAGCTCCCATGTTTGCCCCGACACCCATGGGGGCCTCTCAAGAGAGAAACTCCCGTTCACCCCTTTCCCAGGGCACTCGCTCTCTAGGTGGCATGCCAGCCCCCAAACACAGGTGGCTTTTGGGCCCACGTGGGTCAGCCTGCTGCCCCTGCCCTATACCCTCTCAGGCCGTTGGGACCCCTGCCCTTCAGATGTCCAAGGGTCTAGGAGTGGGGCCAGTCACCATGGGAAGAGGCCAGGGGCTTGGCAGGAGAGGCGGCCCAGGTAGGACCCAGTCCTGAGTCCAGAGCAGGGCCAGGGAGGTGCCCACCCCACCCTGGCCAGCCGCCCTCTCTCTTGTTTCTTCTATTTGTTCTTCTTTTCACCCACAGCCCTGTGTTCCTGTCATCCCTCCTTTCAGCAAAAGTCCTGTTCCCCTTCCCTCTGTCCCCACCCACTCCTGTTCCCCAAGAAAATAAGCTATCATTGTTGTATTTGCAATCTATGGATTAGAGGTTTAAGTATTTATTATTATTGGTTAATTATTATTAATTATGTAAATTTGCCTCCCGTCTGTCTGTTGCATTGGGTTTCTGAGGAGGCCCTGGGTGAGGAGGATGCACTGGCTCCCCGCTTCTCGCCCCCCACCCCTGTGCTGTCCAGGAGGCAGTGGTCTGGGGCCACTGGTTGGGCCCCCGTCCTCCCCTCCCCTTGTCCCTTCTCCAGGCTGTGTGTGGGGGGGTCCTGTCTGTCTCTGTCTCTGCTCCCACTCTTGAGGCACTGGTCACCCCAAAGTGAGCTGCCAGGGTGGGGAAGAAGGTCCTGTGTTGGCCACTGCCTCCTCCAGTGCTGTGGGAGGCAGGCTGGGGCCCCACCTGGTGGCTTTCTCCCCACTGGGCCCTGAGTCCTCTCCAAGCCTCTCTCCCACCCCTCTCACCCGGCCACTGCCTGGCATTGGGATCGCCCCACAATGGACCCAGCCCCTCCTGTTATTTGCTGGGAAGTCCAGCGGAGGAGAGGGTGCAGGTCCCCCGCCGAGCCTCCAGTCTCTGTGGACTGGGCTGCCGGCCCTTCCGCACCCCCTTAGAGCCCTTCCCGACGCGGCTGCACCTTCCGCTCCGCGCCCCTCCCTTTGTATTTGGAGACAATGTGTTGTAATAAAGCTTAAAGTGGATGTTTTCTCCACGACTCCCTGCCTCTTCCTTCAGACTGGCGGTGGGCAGGGTGGGGGCAGAGGCTGCTGGGAGGCAGGCCTGAGGCCAGGAGCCCGTGTGTTGGGCCTGGAAACTTGCCCCAGGCTCACACCGTGGGTGGGCTCAGAATAGTCCCTGAGGGCCAGGCATGGGCACAGGTCCTCAGCTGTACCCTTAGGGTGTAAAACACACTTTTTTGGTGGTTACATGCTAGTAAAAGCTTAAATAACTTGAAACGATATAAAATCTCAGTGTTACCCACAACTCCCCTCACTCCCACAGTCCCAGTGTGAACAGCTAGCGGCTTCCCTCCCAGCCCCTCCATGTGTGCTGTGTGCATGTGTGTGGGTGCACGTACGTACCAGCAGAAACAGGGGTCTAGTTACCTTTAGTGTCTCCAACCAGCGTTTTCTTTGTTTTGTTTTGTTTTGTTTTTAGATGGAATCTTGTTCTGTGGTCCAGGCTGGAGTGCAATGGCGCGATCTCCACCTCCCGGGTTCAAGCAATTCTCATGCCTCAGAGTCCCGAGTAGCTGGGATTACAGGCATGTGCCACTACACCTGGCTAATTTTTGTATTTTACTTTAGTAGAGACGGGGTTGCACCATGTTGGCCAGGCTGGTCTCAATCTCCTGACCTCAAGTGATCTGCTTGCTTTGGCCTCCCAAAGTGCTGGGATTCCAGGCGGGAGCCCCTGTGCCTGGCCTCCAGCTAGCTTTTCAAATCTTAAGTAATGTGCACACCATACAAGGATCAAAAGTACACCAGGGTATGCGGTAGAAAGTACTGGTTTGTCTCCCCCAGGCTTGTCCCCAGCCTCCAGGGTCCTGTCCCTGGAGGCAGCCCCAGCCAGACCTGCAGAGCCCCCCACCCCGAGGGCAGACCTGGCTGCTGCAGGTGCCACAGGCTGCAAAGATTCACAGTGTGCATGCAGCCCAGAGTGAGGCTTGTCTACACTGTCGTGGAGGATACCAGATATGTCCTCACCACACAGACCTCTGGTTCATGCAGCTTCTTCCAGGTTTAGTATACCTATCCCAGGGACCCCTCCCAACCAGTGACGCTGTCCAGACCATGTGTGTGTGAGCGCTCATGAGATGGGAAGAAGAGGAAGCAAGACAAGAGAAGAGGAGGGGACCAGCCCCTCCTTGGGGGCTGCAGGAGGAGGTAGGGTCCTTGAATCCTGCATCTTTAAGAATCCTCAAAAAGGAGGAAAGCTAGAAACATAGTCTGATGCTCCCACAAGGCTATTTTTGGCTCAAGAACATCTATTTATAACTCTGGCAGCCCCTAGCAGTCAATAAAACCGAGGCCTGGAAAGAGCTGATGGCTGACTCGAGCGGCACCGAGGTGCTCCCCTACCCCTTGTGCAACAGGAGCACCTGCAGCTCCAGGAGGTGGGTGACAGGGCCTCTCCTAGGATGCCCATCTGGGGGCACATAGGCCTCAGGACCCTGGGGGCAGTGTAAGACTCCAGATGGAAGGAGGGGTCTCATTTACCAACTCAATCAGGCTCCTAGAGGTCCAAGAGCTGCCCAAAGTAGGTGGTGAAGCAAGAGTGAACACGGGTGGACAGCCTCCAACTGCTACACAGAGTCCCCTAAAGGCTTGATGCCCTGTCTGCACTTGTGTCTCCCCCCAGGACAAGGGCTTTAGTTGCTGGATAGGTCTTGGATGGGTAGGTAGATGGGTGGATGAGGGAGGGAGACATGGATGGATGGATAGGTGAATTTATGGATGGGCAGATGGATGAATGGTGGATGAATGGATGGATGGGTGGATGGGTGGATGGATGGGTGGGTAGATGGGCAGATGGATGAATGGGTAGAGGGATGAGTGGGGTGGGTGGGTGGGTAGACGGATGAATGGATCTATGAATGGGTGGATGGGTGGGCAGATGGATGAATGGGTAGATGGATGAGTGGGGTGGGTGGATGAATGGATCAATAGGTGGGGGGATAAGTGGGATGGATGGATGGGCAGATGGATGAATGGGTGGAGGGATGAGTGGGGTGGCTGGGTGAGTGGATGGATGGATGGATGGATGGATGGATGGATGGATGGATGGATGGATGGATTATGGATGGATGGCAAATGGATGAATGGGTAAAGGGATGAGTGGGGTAGGTGGGTGGATGGATGAATGGGTGGAGGAATGAGTATGATGGATGGATGGATGGATGGATGGATGAATATATAAATGGGTATTTATAAATAGACAAGTGGATGGGTGGCTAGTGAGTAGAAGGACAGGAAGGTGGACAGATGGATGGATGGGTGGATAAGTGGGTGGATAGGAGGTGGATGGATGGGTAAATGAGAGGGAGGGAGGGAGCAAAGGTGGGTGGGTGATAATATTATATTGCATTAGTTGCACTTCTGTTAGTCTTATATTAAAGCTGTGTGCTTACCTCCATTCTCCGTTGGACTGCAGACGGGCACCTGGTCTTTGCATACAGAAGGCAGTGAATGTCCAATGAATAAGCCACATACTAACTGTCTTGGAGCGGGACATCAAAGGAGAGACTCTCTCCAAGGCCCAGGGAGAGGAACAGGCTTGGTCAATGTCCCTTAGAGGGTCACGGGCCACGTTGGGGCTGGGCTTGGTTCCTGGTCTCTCAGGCACCATTCCTCTGCCTGCTGAGCAGTCCCTGGAAGTGAGCTGGAGGCCGGTCTCAGTGGCACCCCTGCCAGCTGCCACTGTACTCCTGTGGATGGACTTATCAAGGCCCTTCCGGGGCTCAGAACTGAAGAGACTCTGAGCAGGAGAAAGGGCTAGGGCCAGTTCTCAGGAAGACTTCCAGGAGGAGAGTTTTGGGCTCTGAAGGCCAGGTTGTGTTTGGAGGGGCAGGTGGGGCAGGAGGACTTTGCAAAGGTCCACAGCGTGGGAGAAAGGGCAGAGGTAGGAGCGCCCTGCGGGGAGCCAGGCAGAAGCTGAAGGCCTCTGGCCAAGGCAAGGCCTGATGAGAAGAGGGTGCAGCTCGATGGGGCTCTGAATGGCAGGTGGTCCGGGGGAGTGTCTGAGAAGAGTGGTTCTTTGGGGGCAAGATGGAGGGAGGACTTGCTATTAAGGGGAAGCCATGGAGTCTTTGAGGGGCCTATACAATGGACACCAGCAGAGGGTGCCCCTACCTCCCCGGAAGGGCACAGGGCACGGGGCAGGACCTGGACAGAGGGTGGGAGAGGAGGGGCTGATTAGGAGCCTCTCAGCAGAGCTTCACAACAAATGCCTCGTATGGGTGGTGGGAGCACATGGGGAAACTCAATTATCCCTGCAGGCAGCTGGGGCTCGGGGGCGCAGTCCCTCCAGATAAAGCACAGCCTTCTGGTCCAGGGTGAGGGTTAGAATAAACCACATACTAACTGTCTTGGAGTGGGATGTCACAGGAGAGACCCTCTCCAAGGCCCAGGGAGAGGAACAGGCTTGGTCAATGTCCCTTAGAGGGTCAGGGGCCAAGCTGGGACTGGGCTTGGTTCCTGGTCTCTCAGGCACCATTCCCCTAGACCTCTAAGGCAGCCCACAGTCCCAGGCCCCGCTCCTGTCCCTGAGAATAGGGCTCCTGGCTTAGGAGCCTCTATGGAAGACACTAGACCCTGAAGGTGTGATGATGGCTTGTTTGTGAAACGAGCGGCCCCTGACTGTGAGGACCAGAGCTTAGAGGGGGTCCTGGTGGGGTGAGGGGAACATGCGTGTGCCTCCCACCCCCAAGCAGGGTGATGCCAGGGCAGGACTTCGCCAAACACTAGGCAGGTGCATGGATGGACGCCCTTGGGTCCTTGCAAACTGAGCAGGGAGACTTTTCTTGCTTCAGAACCTTTCAATGTTCCCCTCCAGAGGGGCTGAGATGGGGGTGGCCTCAGGGAGGGAAGGGGTATGGGAGCTGAACTGGAGTTGAGTGAGAAGGCTGGGGAGACAGAGGCCTCAATAGGGGGTTGAGAGGAGAGGAACTCAGTGAAGGACCTTCATTCTGGAAGGTGGGGGGCGGGGAGCAGGTGCTAGGCCCAGGGGCATCTCTCCCAGTCTTTGCAGACACCACCGTGAAACCAAGGAACAGTGGCCTGTCCCCAGGGAGCTCCCAAGAGGAAGCTCTGGGAAGGAAAGGGGAAGACGCACTTACTCCTTCCCCGCCAGGAATTCTGCTCCCCCGACCAAGTCCAGTGCCCTCCCACTTTGCCCCAGCACCTGCACCCTCAAGGCTGAGCGCACCTGCAGAACGCACTCCGGCCCCCCACACACCTGGGGCCTCCGACCAGGACCTCGCAGGGCAGGTGACTGCCCAGGAAGGGTAGGGGGATGTGGGGGGACTGGTGGCACCGATGGCATCACCGGCCGAAGCCTGCCCCTGACTGACGCAATTGCCGGCCGTCGCAGCTATAAATAGCCAAGGAGAGCTGGAAATAGAAGCCAGGGAAGGGCCAGAGGCGGGTGGAGGGAGGAGCTTGGACTTGAGCACCTGATGCCAGAGGAAGAAAACAAAACTCCATTCTAGGGCTCCCCTCCCCCATCCCGCCCCAGCCTAGAGGGGCGTTTGCACCCGGAAACGTTTGGGGAAGCAGGGTGAAGTCAAGAACCTGCCCGACAGTGGGCGGGGCCTCCCTGCCGCGAGGCTCGGGGCGGGTGGAGCCCGCCCTGGCCACAACCCCCAGTCTTCTGCTCTGGGTCATCTGCAGGGCAGTGGCCCCTCCTGATGTCCGCCCGCCCCCTCCCCCAAGCAGAAAGAGATTCCGGTGCCTCTCCAACCTCCCCACCCCACACCCTCCGTCAAGCTCCTGGCCCAGGAGACCCCCAACAGCCCTGGAGCACAGGCCCGATTGGCGAGATCAGTGGACACTAGGCCTGCCCAGCGCCTGGCCGGTGGGGGCGGCGTCCTGGGGCAGGAGGGGGGCTTGTGGGGCAGTTTTTGTATCTTTCTCGCCCAACCCGACCCTCCGGCCAGCAGCGGGAATGGGGCTCAGAGACTTTGCCGCCCTGGGACAGGGCGCACTGCA